ACCGAACATCTTTTCTATCTAGAGGATCTTAGCGAGCACGTGAACCGCTTGAGTTGGTATACACCAATATATGCGGAAAGATGCAGACACTTTCATAAGGCCAAAACTGGTACTTTCTAATTTTTGTTGATGATTATTCAAGCATGATATAGATATACTTTTTAAAAGAAAAATCAGATGCCTTTGAAGTGTTTAGAAAATTTAAAGCCATAGTGGAAAGTCAAAGTGATCATAAAATTAAAGTTTTACAAAGTGATCGAGACGGTGAGTTTACCTCGAAGAACTTTGATAATTTTTGTGAAGAACACGGTATTCGGAGACAATTGATAGCAACATGTACTTCTTAATAAAATGGTGTCGCTGAGAAAAGGAATTGCACAATTATCGAAATGGCTAGATCGATACTGAAGGAGAAAAATATGTCTAACACTTTTTGTGCAGAAGCAGTAAATACAACAATTTATATCTTGAATAGGAGTTTGACAAAATTTGTTCCAAATGAAACTTCAATTGAAGAATGGAGTGGTTTCAAGCCCGTGATTAGTCATATGAAGATTTTTGGTTGTGTATATTATGCTTATATACCAATCGAAAATAGATCAAAGTTTGATAACAAAAGTGAAAGATATATTTTTGCTGACTATACTGATGGTACAAAAGGGTACAGGGTGTACAATTTAAAGAAGAAGTTGATGATCAGCAGAGATGTCGTGTTCGATGAGAATGCTTCCTAGAATTGGGAAGACGAGAAGGTTCAAGAAAAACAGTTATCTCCAACTATTATCTCATTGGAAAGACAAACTACTTAAGATAGCGCTTCAAGACAAAATGAGTCTAGTTTAAGCTCAACTTCTAGTCCAAATTCAAGTCCGAGTTCTAGTAGAAATGCCAGAGAAGAGTCAACTACTTGAAAATCAGCTTCAAGAAGAGTAAGAAGTTTAGCAGAAAAATAATACTTGAGAGCTAATAGATCGAGTAAAAGATCGTGAAGTGATCGCTGTTAAATAGATTTATAAAATAAAATTGAATCCAAATGGCTCAATTCAGAAGTATAAAACAAGACTCATGGCAAAAGACTTTAAGTAAAAGTATGACGTAAGCTATTATGAGATTTATGCTCCTACAGCAAGGCTAAAGACAATTAAAACTGTTATTGCTTTGTTAGCTCAAAAAGAGTGACGATTGTATCAACTTGATGTCAAATTAACTTTTTTGAATGGTTATCTTGACGAAAAAATTTATGTTGAACAGCCAGAAAGATTTTTAATTGAAGGGGGAGAGAACAAAGTATACAAGCTAAAGAAAGTGCTATATGGTCTAAAACAAACACCAAGAGCATGGTATAATGAGATAAAAAAATACTTCACACAGAAAAAATTTTAAAAAAATAAGAGCGAGCCGACTTCATATGTCAAGAAAACAGGTACTGATATTCTAATTGTCTCATTATATGTTGATGATTTAATTTACACAGGCAACAATGAGTTAATGCTCAGAGAATTTAAAAAAGACATGATGGAGACATATGAGATGAATGATCTCGGCTTCCTACATTAATTTCTAGGAATAAAAGTTGCCAAAAGGGATACAGACGTCTTTACATCACAAAAAAAATATGTAGAAAATATTTTGAAGAAATTTAATATGTAAGATTGCAAGTTAGTTACAACTCCCCTAATGACCAAGAAAAAGTTGAAAAAAGACGATGGAGCAAAGAGGGCAGATGAAACCACCTATAGGAATTTAATTGGAAGTTTGTTATATCTAACTGCAACACGACCAAACATCATAGTTGTTGCTAGCCTATTATCAAGATTCATGAACAGCTCGAATTAATTAAACTTCACAGCTGCAAAGAGAGTACTCAAATGTATTGAAAGTATAATAGATTATGGTATATGGTATAAACCAGTAGAAAACTTGACATTGATCGGTTATACAGATAGTGATTAGGATGGATGTATTGATAACATGAAAAATACATCAGGATATACTTTTTCACTTGGAACTGGTCTTTGTTCATAGTCGTCAAAGAAGCAGAGCGTAGTGGCGTTATCATTAGTTGAAATTGAGCACATAACAGCAGTGCGTGCCATCACACAAGCAGTCTAGTTAAAACGGATTGTAGAAGATATTAGTGAGAAGCAAGAAGAACCAACAACAATATTCTTCGACAGTAAGTTAGCAATTGCAATTAATGGGAATCCAATTAATCATGACAGAACCAAACATATTACTATCAAGTATCATTACATTCGAGAAGCAGTCGAGTAGTAAGAGGTACAATTCGAATTTTGTAGAACGAATCTGCAGTTAGCTGATATCTTCACAAAAATGTTGACTAAAGAAAAGTTCATATACAATCGGAATCTGATCGGCATGACGAAGAAAATAAATTAAAGGGAGAGATTGTTAGAATTAATTTATTTTACTAAATTATCAGTTACAAAAAATTATAAATCAATGGTTACGAAAAAATTAAAATAAAATAACAAAAAATTAAATAGTAGAATTTAATATTAAGTTAAATAAAATAAATGGGTGGTTACCATTAAAGAAATTAATAAGGAATTTTTGCTGTCTATATATAGGTTATTTATTGTTCTATAATATCATCCAATTCAGAGTGAATATAATATATTTTCTCTTTTCAATATATCTCTCAAGTTATCTTCAATTTTATATTTTTGCATTCCCAACAAGCTCTTATCTTTAGTTTATTTCCAACACTTTCAATATTTTGTTTCATCATGCCAAAAGTAGTCTGAACTGAAAGTTCTTTCACAAGGCAGGTTAAATAGGAAATTCACTAGTTTGTATGTATATATTGTTACACATTCACCATTTCTTGAAAGTCACATATGAGCAAATATACTAACGGGGAGAAACATGAAAGAACTTGTTCATGCTTATTGGCAAAATGTTTGCAGTAAAAGTAATTTACCTCCAACAGTAGCTCCTATAAGGGCCACAAATAGCAGCAAGGGCATATTGAAAAAGGAATTCTCAGCCTCGCATGTTTCTGCCAAAGCTTCAGGAGGTGTAGATAACATAAAGGAATTGGTAAAAAGAAATGCCACTGCCAAAAATCTTAGCTTCTGGTTTCCCTGCCAAACCAAAGATTGTTACTCAGGTTAGGGCTTGATGCCTAGGA